ATCTTTCTGGAGCTCAAGGAAAAAGCCGAGACTCACTCATACAACATGATCTTTCACCAGATAAAGTTAAATCAGACCAGCCATCCCCAATCTGCTGTCTTCCAGATGTGCTGGACAGCAATCTCCATTCTCCCCAGCCAGCAGGATCCAAGTCCTGTGCACAGTGGTGATTATGAGAATTGTGGTTTTATCCCTCAGAGCATGGGGCTGATGGAGGTTGAAGTACACCGTAAGTATAGATGCCCACCGACTGTTACAATTCCACACTACTGACACATCCCGGACTTGAACTATGAAGAATGAGAGGATCCCCACTGATTTGCAAGTGATATCAAGTGCCACAGAGTTTCACGATGAGGCTGTTGATGAGGAGGATGGCACACTGAAGAGAAACATGTTTAGTAAATAGCAAGCACGAGGCACATTTGGAATAACTGAAAACATGGAGCTAGGCAACGCTGAGTATATGCCATGGATCAGTGTGAGTCAGTGGATGGATGAACTGAAACATAGGGGAGAAAACTTATGTATGGCTGGATAAGCGCAATTTATAAAAAATGAAATATATACAACATCAAAAGGAGAGAACAGGAGAGTGCGTGCAAGGTCCCACTTGTACCTGAAGTTCAGCCCTGCAAGTGGCGATGAGCTGCCATTTGCACCCTTCTTCACCTTTGTCCAGGCCAACTAGAGTTGATGGGCCCTGGAGTTCAGCAATATCTGGAGAGCCACAACTACTCTAATCCACAAAACCAACCATTCTTAACCTGCCATCTTCCAGAAGGATTGGATGACAACTCCCATAATCATACAGCCAGCCAAATGAAGTCCAAAAGGTTTGGTGGTGGGCACCAAATTAGGCAAAGGTGATTTACAATCTCAAGACAATTGGTTGTTTTTACTACAACCGTCTAGCATGGTGACTCCATCTGGGCTGGCAGGGATATTGGAGGAGTCCAGATGGGTGTGCACATTTCTCCTCTCAGTCACACAACAGAAAATGTAAGGACACAGCAGCCTATGTAAGATACTGAATCTGTACAAAAGTGAGTGTGATTTATGTAACCTTCTCCTCTTCGTTTACGGGGGGAAATTGTGTGAGTCTGGCCCCCATGTGGACTGTTGGCCTCACATATTATGGTGTGTGTAGAGACGTTGTTAGAAAGAGCACAATCTGTTCCCTTCCACCACAGAAACAAGTGTGCATGCCTGATAAATGTATGAAAGAGAGGGAGGGAGGAAGGGATCATGGGGCAGAATCCTACTGGTTAGTTACACTGGTATAAGTGCAATGGTATTGTTGCTAATTGATGGGTTGCTGCTTATCTCTCTTATTGTGCACCAACTCACAAGGCTGGTGTGCAGTGTGGGATTCAACTTATGTTAACTAGGGGCAATTCACCATTGCAATGTACATACTTACATGGGTATAACTTACCAGCAGGATTCTGGCCATATTTCAGTTTGCATGTATTCAACGTTTCAGGTTCAATCTGCATTTATCTCCAGGGAGGGTTGGAAAAACACCTCCAGCCTGAAGGTGCAGCGACTCCATATCAGTCAGTGCTGACAATATTAAGCTAGATGAACCCAAGGTCTGTTTTGGGATAAGGCAGCTTTCTAAGTGTTCATGTCCTATACTCCTAAGAAGGTAAAACACCACATTAGACTTTATGGTAGCCATTGGCAAACTGCTGCAAAGGATCCACTTTTTAAAAAAGTTAGATTACTCTTTGTTTTACTTAATAGCAGATGCTATTTTCCTCTCTCCCCCCGGCCAATTTCTCTGCCAATCTTCCTCATCTCCCTATCACATCCCACCTTACTTTCCCTCTCTTCTCCTCTCTCCCACTTGCTTCCCAAAACATGACCTATGTGCCTTAGCGAGTTGAGTCTCCATGTGCCCTATACCTCAGCTGACAATTAGCTAGGCCAGTACCCTAACCCCACCCCTTCCATGAATATCTACCATATGCACCTGGGAAGCATGGCATAAAGGAGTATTGAACAATCTACTGACTTTCCAATTTTGCTTGACTCCCCTTCCCATCAGTCCCAGGCATCTCTGCCAGTGATAAGGGTTGATAGAAGCAGATATTCATTCATATCTGGAGAGCCACAAATTCTAATCCCGGGCATAGAAGCTTTGGCAGCCTTCCTCTGTTGCTTATTCTCAATGTAATATTGAGATGTATAATAGTTCCAGATAAGGAGGCTCCACTGAATCTCCATTACTACTGATTCATAGTCAGCACAGAGATGGCCTGGAGCAGCTTCATTAAGATGTAGAATGTTGCATATAATAAAACTAGCTTTGACAATTTGCAGTGTTATGTATTCTCAGTTCTACTGTATGGCGCAGAATCATGGACTTTTAAGACATGCAGCTATGTATTAAAAAAAAAGATAGAAGCATTCAAAATGTGGTTTTAATCACAGGATGCCAACATTTCCTGGATGGAAGGCAAACAGTGAAGAAGCAGTAGAGAGAATAGACAATTATCAATGATCTTAACAGGTCACTGACTTTGCCCTGTTTTAAAAGCTCACCACATCCTTTGATACTAAACCCCAACGGGGAGCTGCCCATTGAAGGAAACAGGTCTTTAGCATCACACCGAGTTTATTTAGGTGGCCAATGAAAGAAAGAGGGGGGGGAAGACAACGACCTTTGCTAGTGGGGGCGCCCCTGATCTGCCACCTGCTGCCGGCTGCTGAGGCCAAGATGCCCACGGTTCTTCTTTCCTCAGTTTCCCCTGCTGACTGTTCTGGCGTGGGACAAGTCCACCCGCCCATCGCGCCCCGCAGAAGTCCTCCCCATCCTCATCGCCCCCCCCGCCGCCTTTCCTTCTGTCAGTCTCTGCCCCCTCTTCCCCCCCACCTTTTCTCGCGCGGCCATGCTGCCACTCAGTCCCTTCTCGGCCAATCAGGGACGACAAAAGGCAA